TTATCTTATTAATAAATCAATCTATACTACCTACCGTTTCATCCTAAGTATTTGACTGATTATTAATTGGCTTAATTACCTCTACTTAGATTAATATATCAAATAATCACCCTATGCTGACCCATAATTTTCAACTTCGCACAAATTGGTAACTAGACGGCAGAGTTTCATCCTGGTTCATGGCTGTTCCATCCAAAAACTATTACTTTGTTAAAAGTTATTAGTAATTATTCATAATGGCCCTCTCTTTGAACACCTATTTTCTTATTCAATGGGTTTGAATATGAAATTTTTATTTGGTCCAGTGTCCTGACGTAGCTCTACGTTCGGACGCCATTAAAATGGTGCCACGTGCCCTTACTCTTTACCGCACGGCCCGACGACCCGACCCGAACCCGAGATTGTTATGTATTAACTAATTTGTTCATACGGGATATGCTAGATATTGCTCGATATTCCTTGATAATAACGAGAAATACCATTCTGTGAAGACCAATACCTAACAACACCAAGCAATACCCCGATTTTGCTAGTTATTGCTCTGTGTTATTCGGTACTGCTAGGTATTGATTTTGACATAGCGATATTTCTCGTTATTGTCAAACAATACCTAGAAATAACGAGCAATACCTAACAATATGCGAACATAGCAATACCGGGTTCCGGTCCATGTCGGATTGGCCGCACAGTAAAGAGTAAAAGCACGTTGCGACATGTTATTGACCTCCGAATGTAAAGCTACATTCGGTGTCTGGACTTAATAATCATTCTTGAATCTAAGGCTTTGTTTTGGACAGCTTTATTTTTGCTTTCTGAAGTTTAGTTTGAAACAATTTTGTTTACCGTCTTTAAAATCTAACTTTCTAATAACAAAAATTTTTCATATTAAAAATTTTTAGACTAAAAAAACTGTTTTAAAAAATAATTAAAAAACTATCCCAAACAAAACCTAAAACAGATTCCTAATACAAAAATGTATTGCATCAAAGTACAAAAATTTCTGCTTCATAAAACAACATTCTTGCTTTCTAAAGGAATCGCATGAATATAATTAATTTGAAGGATATCAGCTGAGCCTGCTATTGAAACTTCAGCTTTCGACACACCAAAGGATGATGTGGTCGTAACTTTGAAAGAAGGTAGACAAAAATAGAAGAAATGTTATTATCATAAATAAAAGTAGCCACTAAACTGATTAAACCTTCATCCAAAATGTTGCGCCAGTTTAGTGTTGCAAAAAGATAACAACCACTAATGTTCATCAATATGGACTGCAATCTTCAAGTGCAGTTCAACGTGATCCTAAAACCTAAATTTTTTCATGCAAAAAGCTAAATGAAATATGAAAAACGCAGTGAGTGTTCGGCAGATGGGCAAGGCTATGTTGCACTGATACGAATATGGCTGCACGGATATGACACAATACGAATACCGGACTCGTCAATACATAAAAAAATACATGCGTATCCGATACACGTGTCCTCTTGAAATTAAATAGTATTTTAATTGGACATGCTTTTTAACATATCTGACACATATCAGTGCAATATCGGATGTATCTAATACAGCACACCTTCATAAATAGGTGTATCAATGCACCATAGAGGCATGGGAGTTTGCGATAGGATATAGAAGAAAATGGTAAACAAGTGGAATAAAGCAATGCAAAACATCAGAAAATACATTCGGTAACTATAACGAGCATGCAAAATGGTGTCAACCCTTTAACAAAGTTTCAATAGAACTGTGCATTTTCGACCTCAGAAGATATAGATAATTGGCGATAAGTTGATTATTCATGCCAGACAATAGGGCAAAGCATTTATGCAAGAATTTAACCACTGCAAAATGGAGAAATACATAACTTGCGCTTGCACCTCTTTCCTTTAATATTTATGCTCGAGTTTTAAAAATACGCAATTGAGTAATGAGACTGTCTTTTGTTCATGAGGCGATGGATAAGAATCAAAGTCAAAAAATTACATTAAGTCAAAATAAATGTTAAAATTGATTTTTTATATAATACCAAAATAACATATTGAAGGATGACATATTAACCTTCTATTAAATTATGAAATAAAAAATTTGACATACATATCAAATAAAATATTGCACAAAATATAAAATCACAAGTAATAAATTGCATGAAATAAAATTGAAATCTAAATATAACAAGAGCAAAATAATATTAAATATATGAATAACATAAAAGTATCATCTAATATCAAATTCAACTTCAAATTCCTTTTTTCTCCGTTCTTTACTCATCCACATTTAATTTCAAAAGAAAACTAAAACAGATGACAAAAACTTAGAAATCATCCGCAATGTCATCACTAAAGTTTTTATATGAATCATCATCGTAACAAATTGGTCTCTTCCCTATCTTATCCCAAGGAGTCTCATGCCTCCCAATTTGCTTCTTCATCTATTTTAAGCATCTTCTTCTTTTATAAATATTTTTCATTAACATAAAGATGAGATTAATACTCTTAAAAATTTAGATAAGGTGATGGAGGTCTGAGGGTTTCAAGTGATCGCCGGCGACGGTTACGACAGTGGTGACTATGGAAAAACAAAGGCTTGGAGGTCAAGACAGTCGAGAGGAAGCTGTTGCAGTTTGGGAGTGCATTAAAACATGATTTTTTCAAGGCTTTAGTTTAGGATTTAGGTAAATTTTAATAAAAATCAATATAAATAGGAAGAGTAAGAGTAAGCCTTATGTCAATGAGGCATGGCTAGCCTCAACCAAGCTAAAGCGCAAGCCTCATAAAAAATATTGAGGTATAAGCCTCGATGTGTTTTTCACTGTAACTGTGTTGAGGCAAACCTAAAGGCAAGCCTCGTATTACGGAATTTTAAACAATTGTATTTGTATACATAAGCATAAGCAAGTTTATGCTAAAAAAATAAAAATTTTATTTCTAACATCCTATACTCCACATTAACTTCCCTTTTTATAAATTAGTACCTTATATTATGGAAGGCTAGCGTCCAACAGTCCACATTGAACTGTACACCATACCCACAGAAATCTCCATGCTTAACAATCTACTAAAAAGAGAGTTTGCAATACTAAAGCACAACAAAGTAAAAAAATAAAAGGAGTTCGAAATCCAAAAACTTAAATAAATTATGCATCCAATAATATAAGATTCATTTATGAATTCTAACATTATCTCAATAGTGAAGATATACTTCAAAAAATAAATAAAAGGGAAGTTAATTTCAAAAAACTGGAGAAACTAATCATTGAAAACCTACTTCAAGAGAGTTTTTTTTTTCACCTACAAAATAAGATCCGACCACAGAAAACAGGGGAAAGTTTAAAAAAAAATTTCTAATCATTATGTATTTCTGAAAGCTTTGTAAAAATAATCAAAAGAAAAAAAAAACAAAAGATAAGACAGAGGATGTAAAAAATACAAAGTCGTTCAAATTCTAAATTAGGTTGCTAAATGAGACAAATTGAAACATTTAAGATAAACCAAAATCAATGTACAGAATAAAGTGGGTGGTTGCAATTAAGGGGCTGTTTGGTTGCCTGCAAAAGAAATGCAGTGTAAAGTAAATGCAATGAAAAATAAATATAATGCATTTTAAATACTTTGAGCCTGTTTGGTTGTCTGTAAAATAAACGCAGGAAAATTATTTCCCTTGTTTGGTTAGATATATATCCAGAGTAAAGTAAAATCATTTTTTTAATAATTTATTTTGGTATTGGCCTTTGGAGAAGGTTTGTGAAACATGAATAAGACACCATATATCTGAATAAATAGACAGAAATCTGTGTTAAAAAATTTAGCAACATCTGAGAAAGATGCGGCGAAGACAGCAAAGCAAAGCGAACCCCAGCAACATGAATGGCCAACGACGATAAAAACGACATGAATGGTCCGAACTCATCCAACCCAGAAAGCAGACCTGGGGTTCGCCTTTCATCTTCTCCTTTTCGTCGTTGCTGCTCGTTTTCGTTGATTCACAGGGGGTGCATAGATTGCACCGTTGCTTCTCGGCTTCCTTGTCGTCGTTCGACTTCGTTCATTCGCGCGAGAGCGACAGACGGCACGGATCGCTCCTTCCTTTCCTTCGTTGCTATTCGACTTCGGCTCCCTCTTGGCTGTTCGACTTCGCTCTTCGTAGTCTTCGCAGGAGGATGGCACGAGGCTAGCGAAGAATTTCAAACCCGCTCATTTTGAGCGGCTTTTGAAGTCGCGGGATCCCCCTCCTATAATACACGCCTAATGCTTCAGAGGTTTTTGTTTTGTTCCGCTTAAAATTAAACAAAGAGCCGAATTTAGTAAATACATGAATTTGTTTTACTTTACCCTCCTAATTCATGCAACCAAACAGCCCCTAAGTCTATTTCGAAAGAGTGACTTAAAGGCGTAAAAACTTTTTAAGGAAAGCAAACATGTTTTTAAATAATAAAAAACTTATAATTTGAGATGGACAAGAATCACAAACAAAGTAGAACTAAAAAAAAAAAAAAGAACAATGACCAAAGCCAAAGCTATATCTCACGATGATCAATATTGCAGCATGGGTAAAGAAAGGATGAATGATGAAAACAATCCAATTAGACACAATTTAATTCATTCAGATAGAAAATAATAAAACTTAATTAAAGATCCGACCTCAAGAAAAATAAGATGCAAATTTAAGTAATTAATTTACGGGAGGAGCTATAAAGTATAAATTTAGATAAAAGAAAAAACGAACAAAATCATAAAAAACATTGTATAGATATTGATAACTGAAATAGATGATAAATGTGATAAGTTGAAGAAGATAAACATGTGATATTTAAGTCCATAGGAGACATTTATGAGAACAGAAAAGTAATGGGAACTATTTTAGCAATTTACCTAACAAATCCTAAAAATGAATATTTGAAGAATAAGAGAATGTGAAATGATTGAAAAGAGGCATTTTAGTTGCATGACAAGCATTTTAGCCACATGACCAAACGAAGAAAAGATCCATATTCCAAATAAATATAATAGAAAGGAAATCTGATTTTTTTTTTTTTTTTCTAAAACCAAGAAGGAAGTAGTATTTAGAATTTGTACTTATTTCATGTTTATAAATCGCACAAAAAAAATTCTACCGCCCAGAATATAAAAAAATATTAAAAAACATAAGACAAGAATGAATACATTAACTACCAGCACTAACCAGGGAACATCAACAGGCAAGTGAATTTTCTTCTCCTTCATGTAGCACTTAAGACCTGCAGTATGCATCCAACATCAAAGGTAAGCAGTGCAGTCAGCATCGCCATTCCTGCTCAACAACAACCCCATTTCTCCCCCTCCCCATCTCCATCTCAACCACCAACAGCATCAACACCTGCTTCAACAACTAACAGTCTCGACATCAAAGAGTAACCAATAATCAACCGCAGTTGATGCTAGTTGGCAGAGGATGAATTCATGTTAGAGCTTAAATGTTTTAGTAATTTCTCAAGTCTTGAGATGAAAAGAAAGAAAAGACTCGTTGCTAAAGATTAAAAATATGTAAGAAATATTACAATAAGTCTTCGTGTTTATTCCTGTCAGATGCATCACATCATATAATGACATGTACAAAGCTTATTTTCATGATTAGCTGATTTATTTTATTGTTGAATTCTATAATTAATAGAATGCAAGTGAAGATGATCAAAAGAAGGATGTCATTCTAGTTCATATGATTGGCATAGTTCAATTTTAATTAATTTCTAATTTATTCTTACTGATAACCACAAGGCATTGTTGGAATTTGATATGCTTGGCTGACAGTTTTGGGTTGTAGAACTTCAAAATAACATTTGAGAAGGTTGGAAAATTTTTTTATTTGGCAGTGGAATTTAAAGTTTGGCTTTATCTAATAATATTGGACAGTGGAAAATAAAATTATCATGAGGTTCTAATCATCTATATTTTGTGTTTTTCATATGAGCAATTCAATTTTCAATTTCATCACATTTTAGTCCAGATCCCTCCACGGATGGACCCTCAGTGGCATTTGTTACAGGCATCTAGCGGGTGTTCAGCTATGTATGCGAATTTTAAGAGATTTCAAATTGTGCCTAGAATTAATTGTTGGATTATTTTAAATGTGTATTGAGTTGATTCAATGTCAATCATATCTACTAGCCTATAGGATGATGACTATATATAAAAATTTTTTGTAGCATATAATTCAGAAACTTTAATGTGTCATACTTTATGTTTTTATCGGCGTATTAGTGAAACTGAAGTTAGAGAGGCTTTAAAGAAAATGAAGGGTGGAAAAGCTGTTGGACCTGATGATATTCCAATACAGGTGTGGAAATGCTTAGGAGATGAAGGGATTTCTTGGCTTACTAAACTTTTTAATACTATTTTGAAGATTAAAAAGATGTCAGATGAGTGGAGAATGAGTGTGTCAATTCCTATTTTTAAGAATAAAAGTGATGCACAAGATTGTACGAATTATAGAGGTATTAAGTTAATGTGTCATACTTTAAAACTATGGGAGCAAGTTATGGAGCATAGGTTGCGGCGTGATACTAATGTTTCTCAAAATCAATTTGGATTCATGCTGGGTAGGTCGACTATGGAAGCCATACATTTATTAAGAGGTTTGATGGAGAAATATAGAGAAAATAAGAAGGATCTACATATGATATTTATTGATTTAGAAAAAGCATATGATAAAGTTCCAAGATAAGTGTTATGGAGAATTCTTGAAAAGAAAGGAGTCAATAATGCTTATATTCAAATCATTAAAGATATGTATGCAGGAGCTATTACTTGTGTTCAAACACAAGGTGGATTGACCAAGTATTTCCCTATTTCGGTTGGGTTACATCAAGGATCAACCTTAAGCCCATATCTTTTTGCTTTAGTCATGGATGTTCTCACTAGACATTTGCAAGAGGATGTACCTTGGTGTATGCTTTTTGCTGATGATATTCTTCTTGTTGATAAGACTAGAGAGGGAGTTGAAAGTAAACTTGAATTATGGAGGTCAACCTTAGAGTCTAAAGATTTTCGCTTGAGTAGATCTAAAACGAAATATATGGAGTATAATTTTAGTAGTAATAGACCTAGTGAGGGGATTGTGACTTTGGGCAATCAAGTCATTAATAAGAGCACACATTTTAGATATCTTGGATATATTGTTCAGAGTGATGGTGAAATAGATGGGGATATTATCAGCAGAATTCAAGTTGGATGGTTGAAGTGGAGGAATGCATCAGGCTTGTTATGTGATAGAAATGTACCCCTCAAACTTAAGGGAAAATTCTATAAGATGGTAGTGAGGCCTGCAATGCTTTATGGTGCCGAATGTTGGCCATTAAAAGAGAAGCATAATACTAAGTTAAGTGTGGCAGAGATGAGAATGCTCAGGTGGATGAGTGGCTTTACCCTTAGAGATAGGATACAAAATGAGCATATACGTGAAAAGGTTGGAGTAGCTCCAGTAGAAGATAAGATTAGAGAGAGTCGCCTTAGATGGTTTGGTCACATAAAACGGCGGCCTTCCGATGACCCGGTTAGGAGAGTAGAGGTATTAGATTTGACTTATGTTAAGAAAGGTAGGGGTAGACCTAAAAAGACCTGGTTTGAAAATATTAGGAATGACCCTTCTTTATTAGATTTAAACGAGAATTTGACTTTTAATAGGACACAATGGAAACAAAAGATTCATGTAGCTGACCCCACGTAGTGGGATAAAGACTTGATGTTGTTGCTGTTGTTGTTGTTGTTGTTGTATATAATTCATAAACTTTGGTTTAATATTTTTTTAAAATTTTCAACCATGCGAGTAAAAGTTAGATGTATAATTTCTTTAAATATACAGTAATAGCACGATTATCAAATTAAAGACCTCGCTAATCTTATTTTGGTACTTTTGTGCTTTGTTCTTATTTCATCAACATAACTTGGCATTGGCTTATTAGTGCTTTAGATTTTGTTAAAAAGCTGATACATTATAAATTCATTTTGTGAAAACTGAATTAAAATTGCATATTATTTTATGCGTTTCAAATTCCTCACAATTTTTGTTTATATTATTACCATCATTTCATTATCAATATGATTCTAGTGTTAGTGTTACTTTTTTTATTTTAAAAAAGTGGTTAAATTTATTTGGCAACTTGTCATTTGTGAAATCCCTGATTTCTTGCATGTAAGCAAACAATGCATCATTTTGAATGTATTAGAAAGCTCTAACCCTGATAAATCGTGTATCAAATTAGTACTAGGGCTTTACATTGCGTCAAAATGTCACCTAGAAGTACAACTAATTATCAGAGTAACTTAACAAATCAAGAAAAAGGTAGAATTGCAATAAGTTTTAAAATCAAATGCCTGGATTATTGAACAAGAGTAATTTGGCTCAAACAAGAGTTGATAAATTTATAAGTGAACTAAGTTTATTAACGTGAACCTAAAGTAAATTCCAATAACATTAATAAACCAACTCATATGAATATTAACCCCACGAGCAAGAAAATAATCAAGATAAATAATTTAGGGTGTCTAACAATGATGTTTATCAAATCATGACATCAAATTTTAGCACAAATGATAACATAGTAAAAAAAATTGAAAGCATCAACATATGATGATAGAATCGATCATAAAGTTTTTATTAGTTGGTTATTAGATTTACATTACTTATTTGAATGGCAAATAATGCATGACGAATCATAAAGTAATATCTGCAAAAACAAAATTAACCGGGCAAGCTGCAATATATTGGATCACCTTAGAAAGGCCATGAAAGGATCCTACTAATAATTGGCCTAAAATGTAAAGAACTTAAAAGAAAATTATTTGTTTTTGTAATATCATGACTAATTCACTAAATTAAAAAACTAAAAGTACTACTAAATACATAAACAATTTTGAAGAATTACCGTTATCTCTCACACCTACTGCATTTAAAACTAATAACATGATATTCAATAAGTATATTAATGTGAAATCACTTGATTATGCATCTGAGTCTAAGATTTATGCTAAAACATGTTTTAAACGTCATTAGATTGATAACATATTAGTGAGTGTTCTAGTTAACCAATGTTTAAAATTGCGTATTCAGGCATTGAGGCGTTTTTCATTCATGAGGCGCCTCAAAATAAAAAGATTGCGTAAACATAAAATGATAAATTTTTTATATAATAATGAGTGAATAATATAAAACATAAAAAAGTATAAGATATGAAATAAAATCAAAATATCTCAATAATAAGACAACATGAAATATAGTACAACTCAAAATTCTATCTTTCCCAAATCCCAATATTCTTTTCATTAACATATAATTCAAACTTCCAAAAATAAATAGCAATGACATATCACATAAGAACTCATAAGTCATCAGCACTGTCATCACTAAGGTGTTCTTCATTTGAATCATCATTATGATGAAATGCTCTCTCCCCTTCCTCCTCTCCTATAGAGTCCAATGTCGGGCATTTACTTCAAGATTTATGTAAATTTTAATATATATAGTGTGAGGCGTAAGCCTCATGCCAGTGAGGCGAGGAGAGCCTCAAGGCGGGCCTCAACCAAGTTGAGGAGCAAGCCTCATAAAAAAAACTCGAAGCGTAAGCATCGAGGCATTTTTTACTGGAATTGCGCAAAGGCGAGCCTCATATTGCGCAATTTTAAACCATGGTATTAACTTGCATATAAATATGTAGGAAGATATTGAAACCAATTATTTTAATCAAGTTATGCTTGTACTGAGAAATTTTTAAAATGATTTAGTTGATATTCTTTAGGGGCTTGGTTTGCACAAAATGGAATGCAAGAGTTATGAAAATTTTCTTGTTTGGTAAATTTTTAAAATGATTTAGTTGATATTCTTTAGGGGTTTGGTTTGCTCAAAATGGAATGCAAGAGTTTTGAAAATTTTCTTGTTTGTTACGATAAAAGAAAAATGCAAAACATTTTGTTGATGTATTTAGAATTTACCCTTTAATTCATCTTCAAAGTATCTAAAATAAAAATAAAAGAAAAAAAGAAAAAAAAAAGTATCTAAAAATCACCCAATTTGGTCTAATGGGTTGTTGATATGCCGATTCAGTGTGACTGAACCGGCCCAGCCAGCCCTCAGCTCATGTACAGGAGGCTGAAACAGTCCGCCTCTAGTTCGTTCCGCCCAAAGGGGTATGCCCCACTTGTCCAAGCGATTTCAAATTGAAAAGAAGTGGGCGGCTAGGGATTGGAAGGGAAATTAAGTTAGGAAAACTTTTGTATTAAAGAGGATGAGAGGATTAGGAAAGATTATGTTTTGATTTATTGGAATTAGGGTTTCTTGGCGACTTAGGCTCTAGACTCCCTTGTCTAGAGATTTGGGAGAGACGA